AGAGCGTGACCAGGCAAACTGGTTGTTAAGGTTGTGGTGGTTGCGTGGTTTGATAATTCACTTGATGGTAATAACACATGTTGTTGTTGTTGTTGGAGGAGGAGATGTGGAGTATCTATGTGATTATTGTTATTAGTTTGTACATTGTTAGCATTGTTATTATTGTTGTTTATTAAGCACAAGTTGTTGGTGGTTAAGGTGGAGGTGTTATCACCCCCACCGAACCCCATGTGGGTGGGGGAGTTCATCATAATGTTCATCCCCATGGCTGTGGGGGAACAAATCCCCGCGCTGTTTTGTTCTTGCAGCCCCAGAACATCCTTGTGGGGTTGAGGTAGCCCCATGGGGTTGTGCAGCTGTTGGTGGGGGAGCAGGGAAGTGTCCAGGAACCCAGCGGGGTTCTGGGGGAGGATGGAGCCCTGCTGCTGGGGGTTGGGGTCCAGAATATCCATGCCTGGGGGATTAGAAATAAGATGAGCAATTTTCCTGAAGCGAAAAATTGCAGTCAAAATGAAAATGAAGCATAAATTGAGCAACAAGAGTTAATTTAAAATTCAATTACAATAATTAATTGATATAGTGAGTGATATAAGCAATGAAATCTCTGTAATAAAAGCATAACAAAATTATAGTCTATTGCACCTGCTCTGCAGACTAACAGGTCATATACAGGTGTGCAGACTAACTGGTCATATACAGGTGTGCAGACTAACTGGTCATATACAGGTGTGCAGACTAACTGGTCATATACAGGTGTGCAAACTAACTGGTCATATACAGGTGTGCAAACTAACTGGTCATGTACAAGTGAGCAGACTAACTGGTCATATACAGGTGTGCAGACTAACTGGTCATATACAGGTGTACAGACTGACTGGTCATGTACAGGTGTGCAGACTGACTGGTCATGTACAGGTGTGCAGACTGACCAGTGGGGGCGGCAGGGTAGGCAGCAGACTGCAGCAGACCAGGGGAGGCGTTGGAGCTGCAGGACTGCAGACTGACGTCACCACCGCTGCCGCTCAGCACCTGCAACACCAGCAGCATGACAGTCATGATGGTGATGAGTGATGATGGTGATTAGGGTGATGATGGTGATGACAGTGATGATAAAAAATCATCAAAAATGTTTTTTGATGATAGTGACTAGTTAGGGTGATGATGGAAATGATAGTAATGATGGTGACTGTGGCAGAAACACTGATTGGGCCATGCAATTGCCTAGCAGTATAGTCTGGCCTGGGACTGATATGTCCAGCATGGCCTGGGACTGCTACGTAAAGCGTGGCCTGGGACTGCTACGTACAGCGTGGCCTGGGACTGCTACGTACAGCGTGGCCTGGGACTGCTACGTACAGCGTGGCCTGGGACTGCTACGTACAGCGTGGCCTGGGACTGCTACGTACAGCGTGGCCTGGGACTGCTACGTCAGCGTGGCCTGGGACTGCTACGTACAGCGTGGCCTGGGACTGCTACGTACAGCATGGCTTGGGATTGCTACGACCAAAACAACTCATTAAGGATAAGTTAATGCACTTGTTCTCACCTCAGCCATGGAAACCATCAACATGTTCATGGGCGGGGAATGCTGTTGCTGGAGTTGTTGTTGTTGTTGTTGTTGTTGTAGGTGTTGTTGTAGGACGTGGTGAGGAGATGGTGGTTGTTGTAACTGTTGTTGTTGTTTGTTTTTATGTTGCATGGCAAGCTGTTGGGGGCTTTGGGGTGCGGCGCCCCCAGAAGGGGTGGTGCTCGGTAGTATAGAGGTGGTACCCTCTCGACAGCTGGGGGGCTGGGGGAGGTGAGAGGTGCTCTCCGGAAGGGGGGCGGAGCAGGAGGGAGGAGGGGCATCGCATTCCATGTCCTGAAAATAAATTTTTTAGTGGGTAATGTGTCAACCGAGGTACTTATTATAATGCACGTACTGATAAACTTAATATAATCAAAGTAATGATAAACTTAATATAATCAAAGTAATGATAAACTTAATATAATTAATGTGATGATATTCATAATATAATAAACGTAGAGATAAACTTAATATAATCAACTTAATAACATAAGCAGCATCTTGACGAATTGACAAATGTGAAGTCAACCTCAAAAAATATTAGTTCTCGTTTTCATGCAAGAAACTTGACTGAGCATCCAAATTATACAATAATGATCGTCAACAGAGATGTACATTAACTTATGATTAACCTTTTACTATGATTAACTAACCAATGATTAACCTTTTACCTTAATACGATTATTAACCTAATGATTAACCTTTTACTATGACCCAAAAACATGAATAAAAAGTATATGACAATAACATGCCATATCTACCTGGGTCCCAGCTTCCTGTTTGACAATTTGCTGTTGCTTCTGTTGCTGTTGGTGGTGGTAGGTAACAGCGCTGCTGTTGGCTGCTTGCTGCTGAGGCTGCTGCTGCTGGGGACGTTGCTGGGGGTGCTGCTGGGGGTGCTGGTGATGGTAGGTGACGGTGGGGGGGATGTTGCTGGTGCCAGCCGTCTGGAGACTCAGGCCGGTTAGGTCTGCGAGAAATAACAGGGTTAAAATTTGTGGGATAAATACATGGTGCAATGGTGGAATTCTAGAGGGGTTTAAAATGAACTATGGAATGGCCATTGCATGGCCAATCACAGTCTGGATGAGATGACATCATAGTCCCATAACCAATCACAGTCAGGATAGCATGACATCATGATCCCATAACCAATCACAATCTGGAGAGACTGAACTCTCAAGCAATCACAGCTGGAAAGGGACATGTCTCCGCCCACAAGTACCTTTGAGCACTATATACTAGAATAAAACCATGTATGGTGTCTACATATACCAGGTGCCACGACCTTCTAGTAGTGGTATGGGTTGACACAGACACTCACCTATACCAGAGGCCACGACACGCTCGTAGTGGTATGGGTTGACACAGACACTCACCTATACCAGGGGCCACTAGGTAATGTACATTTATATACTGTTACATTATATTTCTGATAATTACTTATTACAGTTATATTAAAAATTCATATATTTACGCATCATTACTAACTTGCTACGCTAATATTAAAAATCTGCACCTTAATGCTATATTTATTTATATACAACTAAGTTTAGAAAAATTTCTGTGAATTTTTGTAGAATAATGTCCGAGTTTGGGGAATCTTTTCATGGAGCGAATTCCATAGAAAAAATTGTCAGGAATATCATTATTCATTGACAAATTTCAATCAAATAATCTTTTCAGCAATGCTAGCACACAATTTCCTGAACGGCATTTCATTATATACTAATAATACAATATTATATTCATTACATTACATCATAGAATTGTTATATCATGAGCTTATAAAACAAAATGTTTGAAATAGCACAAATTATTTTGATAGGTACAAATTATATGCAATCACCACACTGATGCATGAGGCCAACAATCACCACACTGATGCTAACAATCACCACGTACCTGCAATCTTCCGTCAAGGGTGCGCTGGATTGTCACGCACTTGCTCGGGTGAGATCCTGCGGTGGTGATTGCGGTGATCAGAGAGTCAAGCTCGTCGCGCTTCTCCTGGTGACAACAGTCAGTGGTGATTAATTGCATAAATACAGAGTTAGTGGTGATTCATTTATTAAATTATTCAATAATAATAGAATGCTAGATTACATTGGATGGATTATTATTGATCATGTGGAATGAGAAACATTATAAATACTAAGATACTTGATGATTTAAATGCTAGGATACGTGACACAAATGTTAAGATACCTGATGATGCTTGATGCTACAAATGCCAAGATACTTGATGCATAAGGATACCATTTGATGATACAAATGATACAGTGCAGCTACCTTGAGCTTCTTGACGAGGCTCTCGATGGCGCGCTTGGCAAAGTCGTCAGGCTCGCCGCCCTTGCGGTGCAGCAGGAGGGACTGCACGATGCTCAGGCACGCGTCCGCTGATGTGGGGGCAGCACTCGACTGAGCAGCATGCTGCTGCGCTGTTGGCTGCGCATGAAATAGCAGATAATGATTATAATGGTTAATATGAACAGTAATATATAACAGATATTGATTATAACGGTCAACATGAGTGCTGTTTGCTGCATATAATACATAACATATTGATTATAATGGTTGATATGAACAGTAATATATAACAGATATTGATTGCAACAGTCAATAAGAGTGCTGTTGGCTGCAAATGATATAACAGTTATTGATAATAACGGTCAACATGAGTGCTGTTTGCTTGGAATAATGTATAACAGATATTTCTTATAACAGTCAATATGACTATAATATACATGAGATATTGAATATAACGGTTAATATGAATAGTAATATCAAAAATAAGGCTGAATTTTATAAAAAGAATTTGGGAGATCGAATAAAGATGCTTTATAGCCACCACTATGGGATTAAATAAGAAATAAATAAGAAATTATTTTGAATAAAGTTTGCAAAATTGCAAGAGTTATCTTAAGAATGGGAGAATAATTTGAAGCTGAAGTTGACAATTACTTACCTTCTATTTACTTTAGTTAATCCTCTAAAATTTTAAAAACTTCAATTCCATACATGTACATTTCAAAAGTTTCTTTTGTGATAAGCTTTCAATTTATCTTGTGGTGTTGTTATTGCAATATATGAACATGTTTTATTGAAGGTTTTTCCATGTGTTGTGTTTTGAATCATAGTTATATTTATTTTATGTTGATCTAATATATAAGTGCCATACTTGATGCTGCTGCTGCTGCATTACCTGGGGCAGTTGTACTGTTATTTGATGCTGGTGAGAGGAGTGAGAGGGCTGCTGCTGCTGCTGTGTGGAGGTCTGAGGGGCTTGGCCGACAGACTGCGCTGTCATGGTCATCTGCATGGCCTGAGGCGACTGGGCCATGGTCTGGAAAAATAACTTGCATTAGATGACACATAAATTATATTATGAGAACTGATGCATACTAATACTTTCTTAAAATCTTAATTTTTTGTGAATAAAAACTTAAGCTAATTTGTAATTTCATTCAATATTCAAATTCAATATGTTATGATAAAAATGGGTACAATATCAAAAAACATCCCATTCAGATGTAGGTATTTAATTTTAGTTCCCCTTTCATTTGTTGCAGTATGAAAAATATCCCTGCAATAATCTTGTGCTGTATACTTGGAATATTAGGCAAAAATTCCTTAAAATTGCAGGGATAAAATGATTGTTTCACAGGTGATTTTTGAAAATTGTTGGTGAAAATAGGCTGGTTTTTCTTATTTTTTGATGAATAAATTGGGAAAAGGCTATAGGTGAAGCAAAATTGGCTAGATTTGCCGGCAGTTTTGGTTTGATTCTGTCAAATTTTCCACATTGGTGCTAATTTATGCTAATGTATTATATATTATTGCACAACATCAGGCAGAAGCCACCTGTGTATCAGGAAAAACCTCCCGTGCTTGTGGTCAATTTCATCTTTTTTCTATGGCCATTAAACTTCAATTTCAAATTTCATTCATAAAGTCTATGAATTGGACCTCTGTCAGCCTGGAGACTCAGCCTAGGTTACTACTACCTAGTACTACTACTTCACTACTTGCCTATGTGGTACCTAATACTTAGGGTAAACGCGGTATATTCCGACACTTTAAGGACGTAGCAAAAAATGAATGGCTATAAAAAAATCACCATACGCGCAACTCAAGTTCTGTTTGCTTTACATCACTCTCAAAACACCGCACTACGCGCCAGCACCAATGAAACGTCACAAAATGTTGCCATATTTATTGAAAAGTTTTTAGAATGCAAACCTACCAAATCCATATATTCCGACACTGTGTGTGACTAAATTCGGCATTTTGTGAGACTAATTCCGGCCACGCTTCAAACTCTACAAATTTGTAATTCCGACACTCTTGTGTTCAAATTCCGATTGCTGTGTGCGCTGTATTGGAATACGACACAGCTTGGAATTAGAACACTATTGAATATTGAACACTACTTATTTAGGCTTTTAATCAAGAGCTATTAAGCTTTTAATTAAGAAAATTTTAATTTTTGCACACAGCTTGGAACGAGCTGTGTGTGTCTAATTCCAAGCTGTGTCAGAATTAGTTTTTATGTGTCTAAAACCGTCTCTTAACTTAATCATCTATTAATTTATTTACCACTTGAAATCAGCAAATACAAGTAGTATACTTAAAGGATTCCTAACATATTCACAGACTTATTTAAAAGTCTCAAATTGTAATATTCTTTCTACACAAACAGTTTATCACTATTTGGTAGAGCAAGGTCAACTATCAACTTTGACACATTTTTTGAAGTTCTCGCTGGGTGACGCGCATTGTCTCTCTTTGGATCTCAACATTTTCGCACCAGACGGCCCAGACTTAGTGTTTTGGCAACAGTATGACATCACTATTTCAACCATCAACGAATGTGTGGAACTAAGAAAAAGCTTAATATAAAGGAAAAAAGTTGAGAAGTGTCAGAATTACCCAAGATGTCAGAATATCAGAATATGCCATGCTTACCCTAATGCCCTATCTACTCATTTAAGTATCATTTACCTTTAATTTACCCATCATTTGCCTTTCATTAGCCTTTCATTAGCCAATCATTTGCCTATCATTTTGCCTAGGTACTCATTTGCATATCGTTTAGCTAGGGTAAACGCGGTGTATTTCAACATCGTGGGTAATTCCGACACCTCTCTAGTTTTTCCTTTATATTAAGCTTTGTTTTAGTTCCATGCGTTCGTTAATGGTTGAAATAGTGGCGTCATACTTTTGTGCCTCTTACTATTGCCAAAACACTAGGTCTGGGCCATCTAGTGGGAAAATGTTGAGATCCAAAGAGAGACTGCATGCCACGTGGTGAGATCATTGAAAAATGTGTCAAAGTTGACAGTTGACCTTGCTCTATCAAATAGTGATAAACTGTTTGTGTAGAACGAATATTATGGTTTGAGACTTTTAAATACGTCCGTCTGTGAATATATTAGGAATCCTTTGAGTATACTTGTATTTGCTGATATCAAGTGGTAAATAATAATAGATGATTAAGTTGAGAAATGGATTTAGACACATAAAAACTAATTCCAACACAACTTGAATTGGACACACACAGCTCGTTCCAAGCCGTGTGCAAAAATTAATATTTTCTTAATTAAAAGCTTAATAACTGTTAATTAAAAGCCTAATTAAGTAGTGCTCAATATTCAATAGTGTTCTAATTCAAAGCCGTGCCGTATTCCAATACAGCTCACACTGCAATCGGAATTTGAACACGTGGAAGTTGGAATTACGTATTAGTACAATTTGAAGCGCGGTCGGAATACGTCTCACCACGTGCCGAATATAGTCACACACAGTGTCAGAATATAGGGATTTGGTACTGGTAGGTTTGCATTCTAAAGGCTTTTAAATAAATATGGCAACATTTTTTGACGCTTCATTGTTGCTGGCGCGTAGTGCGGTGTTTTGAGAGT